ACTCGATCCATAAAATATATTTGAGTTAATAAAATTCCTTACCACCCAATTGCAGTGTGTTGACAGTTCATGTCAGAGGGAGGGACTTAGAGTCTAACTCCATTCTTAAGGGTTGTCTTCATCTTGTGGATTTGGCCGGAAGTGAGAGGGTAGACAAATCTGAGGCTGTTGGCGAGAGACTAAAGGAGGCCCAGCATATAAATAAATCTCTTTCTGCACTTGGTGATGTTATCTCTGCTTTGGCACAGAAGAGTCCACATATTCCCTATAGAAATAGCAAGCTCACACAGGTTCTACAAGATTCATTAGGTAACAGGCAAACTTGAATTAAAATTTACCCTTTTTTGGTACACGTTCCTCATGTTAGTGAGAACAACATTAAGAGCTGGGGTTGTTCTCTATTTCAGCTTTGACCACATATACTACTGATTTTTGCCTTTTGTTTTAGTCCCTTTGGAGAGTTGGGAAGGGGAAGGGATTAGTTTTGGTTGATTAATGATGTGAAATTTAAATGTTGATATTAATGTATTTGAATAAAGCCATTTAAATGTTGATATTAATGTATTTAAATAATGCCATAGTACTTATTATTATTTTGTTTTTATGTTTTTCATATCAATAGGTGGCCATGCAAAAACTTTGATGTTTGTTCATATAAACCCTGAACTCAATGCACTTGGAGAGACAATAAGCACGCTTAAGTTTGCAGAGAGAGTTGCTTCCATTGAACTTGGGGCTGCTCAATCTAATAAAGAAACTGGAGAAATCCAGGAGCTAAAGGAAGAGGTTCGGATTTTGGTCTAAACTAGAGCAATTTGAACTTAAACTTGGTCAATATTACAACAGTTTGAACATTTTACAGATATCAAATATCAAATTGGCATTGGAGAGGAAAGAAACCGAACTACAGCAATGGAAAGCTGGGAATGCACAAAATGCAATAGAATCTCAGAAAGTACCAAGAGCTGTTTCACCTTTCCGCTTGCCCAAATATGGTACCGGTGACAGCATGAAGCCAGAAAATTATCAAAGATCCATGGATGATAGAAGCTCCGAGGTTACTGGATGCTGATATAAAATTCAATAATAAATTTGTGTAAAACTATAGTAGTATATTATATCCACACTGAAGTGTAATTTGTACTCACTTAATCAAATTATATTTTCAGGCTAAAAGTTGTTCTTCAGGTAAGCAGAGAAGGTCAAGATTTCCCTCAACATTTATAGAAAAGGACTCTATGCCAAAAATGTCTCTTCTAGTGAGCTCAGGGAAAGGTAGATCACCATCTCCTCCAGTCACAAGGAGATCAATATCCACTGATAGAGGATCAGTCATTAAAAGCAAGGTCAAAATTGACACAACAGAAAACCAACCAATATTAAAGCATACATTTCCAGCTAGAGTGCTAGTAAACAAATCTCTTGTCACAATGCCAATGGCCTCATCTACAGACAATAATAACTCAAGGGTGAATGTGCATTCGCGGGAGCAAGTGAAGCAGGATAACACTTCTGAATCTCTCGTCAACCACCAGAAGGTCAACACTAGGAAAGTTCATCAAGAACTTGAAGAGCAACAATGCAAGCAAGCACTTGTTGCAGTAAGACAAGGTGGTACTAGGAAAAACAAGGCTGACAGTAAGGCCAAGGTTAAGCATCATCAACAATTTCCCTTTAGGATTCAAAAGGCTGATTTGATACCTACATTGACTTCGGACATGGAAATTGCTGGTAAAATGACTGTGGAGCCACAACCTCGAAAGTGTGATCACTCAGAGCCAGAAAATGATATAAGCTTTACGGAATCAGTCCATGGGGTGTTAAATCTTAAAAACCATCAGAACATCTCTAGGAATTCTCAGAACCTTAGATCAAGGTATGGCTAAAAGAATAATTGAAAATCTTTGCTTGTTTATTTGTTGCTTTCATTGAAAATGATATATTTCATAGCCTCATTTGTAAATGTACATTTTTGTCACATGCAGAGGAATAGTGCAAGCAGGTGAACCTTTATTATCTAGCAAAGTTGAAAACAAACTTTTAAATGGTTCATGTTGCAATCCTAGGGAAGGCACCAATACTACACAGCCCGAATTTAGAAGGAGCCGATCTACACCACGTGGAAACTTTTTTGTTTTATCTTGAGAATTTCATTTCAGGTTGAAATTTGAATTTTTTTTTTCTACATTATTTATTTTTGTACAGTGAAAACTATTGATGTGCATGTTGTAGTGTCACCTCACATAATTTTGTAAACTTTGAGGTATTAAGGTCGGTTTGGGTGTCCTTTCTCTATTCTTGTATTCTGATTATGCTCCTTGTAATTTAAATTTTCGGAGTTCAATGTGTACTAATTTCAAGGTGCTACCTTACACAGTTTTATCGATAAGGTATATTTACTGCATTTCATGAATTCAGCTTCCTATTACTAATTCAACAGAAAAAGTAATGAAGAAAATTATTGCAAACCTTGTGGAATTGTACCAGGCTCTTAACAAATGGCTGTAAACCGAATATTTTTTGGATACTTTAAAATATTATAATTTTGTTTTTCGGTTTCTCATTTTTTGTGTTAATTTTTCAAATCAGTCTGTTATAATCCAAATGGCTCTAAACCTAGGAATTATATAATCTCTATAGGATGCTACATTTGTACTTAATGGTAATAAAAATGGTGAATTAATCAAACGACCTTCTGTAAAAGAATTTTTTTTTGATAAACTGGTTTGTAAAATTTAGAAAATGTGAGACTAAATAATACTATTCAAATATTTTGAGGAGCCTTTATTATTATTTTTTAATCCTGTTATATGCCAAAACAAAAGAAATAGTCAACAAGATACTAGGAATTGAGGCAAGATGATGATTTCGAACATAATAATTGGTAGAGTGTTGTTGATTATTGTTTTCGAAAATATAAGTTTGTTCCCATCAGAATATTCAATTAGTATTTATAACTTTTAGTTTATTATAATTGATTTTTTTAATGGGCGTTTCATCATGCAGAATAAAAAATTATATATACTAAAATTTTATTGAAAATTGTGAAATTTAGAAGTCCTAATACATTGAATTGCATTTAACGTTATAATTTTCAATAAAAATTTAGTATATGTAACTTTTTATTATGTCCAATGTTGCATGGGTTAAAAAATAGTAATATAATTTGCTTCTTTTTTTTTTGTGAATTTTTGAACTGCACTGCATAATATAATGGATGGATTATATTTAAAGTAGTTCCTAATAGCATCTCGACCAGCACTTTCCCTTGCTGGCCTTTTCCAAATGTGACATTTACTATAATTAATTAGTGAAACTTATTTTTGTTTTCATTCTTTCAAATTGGGAGACATTAACCTATTATTAGACAAAAGCAATAAAACGATATTCTGTCCTTGACACCTCATTGACAACCTCAGCATAGATTTTGTTCCTCAAAACGTGTCTTAATTTTCTTTCATGTATATTTCAGAGAGTTACAGAATTGCACACAATTTCCTCACATGACAATTCATTACACATTGAACATCTGATCAAGAACTCCATTAATCCACAAGGGCTGAACGATGATGATGGTTCATTGTTCTATGGTAGGAAGCATCTATGATGGGCATACCAATTATAATTCTCTTTGACAAAACAACAATTGAAGGCAAAAGAAGATCACGTATCAATCCTAATACAAAAATCATATAATTTGCAGGCTCAATCCAAAGTTGTCCTAGTTATAGCTAATGACTAATTCTCTTGTAGAAGCTGTGATGTTAACCATTCCAGATTCAACTTCCAGGAAGAAAACTTGCAAGGATCAAGCCACGAAAAAAGATGCCCCTCATAATTCTGTCACCTTTGTTTATCGAACCAAAGTAGCAGAGTCATTTCGTAGTGTAACAGTGATATGGTGCAAGAACTCCACAGAGCACTTCCTTTCCATGAAGGTGGAAAACCCTTCTGATTGTGAAGAAGACAAGTGCATCTGCAAGATTGATTTAGGATCCGGGCAATCTTGGGGGAAAAAGGGTCTCAAATCCTTTGAAATGGAAGGTGCAAGAGTAGATATTTTCTGGGATTTTCGCCATGCAAAATTCTCCACAAGTCCACAACCTTCCTCAGGTTATTATGTTGCCTTGGTTTACAAGAAAGAGGTAAATTTGTTATTGGGAGATTTAGAGAAGGATGCTTATGAAAGAACCAAATCAAAACCATCCTTAAAAGAGGCTACCTTGTTGTGCAAGAAAGATAATGTGCATGGGAAGAGGCTGTTTTGTACCAGAGCCATACTTGAAGAGGGTAAAATAGAGCATGATGTTGTCATTGAGACTTCCCTTTGTGGGCCTGATGATCCAGAAATGTGGATTAGCATAGATGGGATGTTGGCTAGTAGAATAATGAACTTGAATTGGAGATTCAGAGGGAATGAAATAGTAATGGTGAATAATTTACCTGTGCAAATATATTGGGATGTGCATGATTGGTTGTTCACTGATCTTGGTTCTGGCCCTGCCTTCTTTGTTTTCAAGCCAGGCTTTTTAGAAACTACTAGCCCAGAAAGAAATGGAGATAGCTGCAGACATGGCTTAGTAGAGGACAATTCACCCACCAAAGGCTTCTGCCATTTTCTGTATGCTTGGAGAACCAATTGAAATTCATTTTGCTTGTGTTCTCCAAAAGTCTTGACCCCTTTTTTATTTTGGTAGAAGTGTTACTTTCATATATAAAAGATGTGTTAATAAAAATGTGAATAAAAAAATAAAATTTCTTATAATAAAAAAATATAATTTATAGATTATTTTTAGTTTATTTTAATCTTAAAATATAAAATAAGTGTTCCTTAAGTAGTTGAGTCTAATTTATAACAGAGAAATGGATTACTTAATGCGTATCCTAGTTTGACGGTCAGGGAATCATGGGCCAAAGCCCAAAATTCCACTCTAACTGGAGCATGGGTGTCCAGCCCAAACCTCCACCGGATATCACATATTCCGGGCTGGCCCAAAATGATCTTCTTCGTCAGAACAGAAAACAAAGGAGACGGTGAAAATGAACGGAAAATGGGTGACGGCGACGCTCACTAGCCACAAATTTTGATTGCACGAATATGGCAAGTTTCGCGGGAAACATTGGTCTCAAAATCGCGTGCCAGCTTCCCTCTCGCGTTTTTTCAATTCCCCGGTAACTTCTATCTCTCGTTTTTAGCTCCCTAATTTTGCTACCCCCTTGTATGCCTACTGGAAGAAAATTGGAGAAGCAAATTGACAGAAAATTCTGATTTTTTTCCAGAGTAAATGAGTTATGGACTTCTAATTTAACTGCCCAATTGGTGGCATTGTATTGGGTTGATTCTTAAACATTTTGATTCTTCAACCTTGGCATTATAAAACACCAATAGGGATAGCTTGTAGCTACATTCTTAAACATTTTGGCCATTGTTCTAATCCTTTTTTTGTTTTTGTTTTGGGGGGGGGGGGGGGTTTGTCTTAAAAATAGGACCATTTGGAAGTCTCAGATTGTGTGCTTAAAGAGCAGAGGCTTTAGTTATTCTGTTCCTGTTAGGAATATTCGAATCACATCCTCCAGACTGAAAATATTTGAAACTGCTCTGCCACTGAAAAGACGGGAAATTTGTGGCTGTTCTGATGCTAGTGTGCTGAAGATAAATGGTGAAAAAGACGAGCATGCAACAATTGCACACTGTGAAATTTCTCAAAATCCAGATGAAATTCACCCTGATATACTCTTTGATGACAGGGAAGAAGGTAAACTTCTATCTAACATTTCTAGGATGATATTGTTTTAGTTCATCATTTTGGAGTTACTTGTGCTTCACTATGCAGGATGGGAGAACTACATTGCTATCGATAGCTAAATATAATAGATTTGTGATTTTAAGCATTCCAATTAAATTTGACGCCTGGCATGGGATTGGTGACTTACAGTTTTTAGTGTGATGATACGGTGTTGTTATATTGTTGTACTGGATGAATACATCAGGTGTGCTTTTGATGGACCTGAGAAATTCAATTCAACTAGTCGTAAAAGAAACAAAAGATATTGTACACTCTTCTGAGGCTTCTTTGTAATTGATAAATCGAATACAAATAAGCTACTTAAAACAATTATGATATTAAGAAAAGAACGGGGAAGAGAGGAACAGTGTTGGTCTTATGGTTAACTAAAGTTAGCTTTCTCTAGGGTTAATATGATCTTCTACCATTAAGATTGAGAATGAATGATAGATTCATGCTTCTAGATTCACGATGTGCATTTGTTATAATGGAATACTCTGCTGCAGAATCAAACAGTGTGCTTATTGAAGAGGTTGAAGAGTTAACAATGCATCAGGGAGGAGACTCTTGTCAACAGGATTTGATGCAAATTGACAAATTTACAAGTGATGTTGAGGAATCGGCTATTAAATTACTTGCAGCTAGGTTAGTCGTTGTCTCCTCCCCCTCTCCAGGAAACTAGTTATATACTGTATTGTCAACCTAATAAAAAAGTTTCAGAACCAACTATGGGCAAGCATAATGTTCATTTCCTATGTGCTAGACAAATCAATTTTTGTCGTGCTACTATGAGTTTGAAGTACGTTGTAGCTGTGCTTCGTGTTGAGGAAACTTCCTTTTTATTTTAACTCACTGTGCCAGGTGTTTACCCTCTTTCAACACTGCCATTAAGAAATTGAAGAATTGATGGTATGTTACCATGGAAAGGAGTGATCTAGTGCACAAGGATCCCACCTAGTGGGGTTTGAGGAGGTTACATGTACACATCTATATCCTCTCAAATGGAGAGTGTGTCTAGGATTTGAACCCATGAATTCTGGGTTACAAGATAGCAACCTTACAATTGCCAAGGCTCAATACAAAAGCTAAAAAAATGATATTAGAACAGAGTATGTATTACTTTGGCATTTATTCACTGTCTACCTACAAATATCCCATTTATTTTTTTCAGAAATTTCAATTTGATCGGGGTTGTTTGTATATCATTATATCAAAAAACAAACTTGTGCTAATGAGTTTCTGCTTATTTGGCATGCCTTTGAAAAAGTTTAAGTAAATTGGAAATAACAGTGAATTTCCTGGAATTGGGTTTGTTTATAAGTTCTTAACAAAGACAAAACAAATTGTAATAATTAGTCAGCTAATATCTTTTTACTGTTGGGAAGAGAAGAGTGCATGTCTTAATGTAAAATGCAGTCTTTATTTTAAGCCTGCCTGTCTCTCTGTTCTGTAGGGCACTCACAGCACTTGAGTTGAGAAAGAAATTGCTTGGAAAGAGATTCTCTGCTCATGCAGTGGAGGCAGTGGTAAACAGGTTCCAGAGAAGGTGTGTAGTTAACTTCATATAGAAAAAATTGCAGAGATGTTATTTGTAAGCCATTTTCAAAAGCATCTTTACTTGAAGCATTACTAGCTTTCAGACAACTACTTCCTAAAATTGGTTTCGATCAAGTTTTTATTCAGCTACAACAAAGTGAGAGTAATATATGTTATGTGACCCCTGGCCTTAAAAGTGAGGTGTCTGCAATCACATATACAAATAGCTGTCACGAAGATTGCTTGGAATGCAGCTCCAGCCAACTGTTACTTCAGTCTGTTTGCTGAATAATAAATTGAAAATGAAATTATCTAAGTTTTTACATTGATATTATAATCTTCCTTTGTAACTTGTGGTGAATGATGATTATTTGTCAACAATGCAACCACTGAAAATCTTTACTTTGTATCTTAGAATAAAGAAGAGTGAAGATGAACATTAAGATGTGGTTTGTAATGAAGGTGTTTATTAACACAAATCCTGGAAATTGTTTTGGGAATTGAAAATGCTCATTTCTTTTTTCATTGAAGTTTTCTTCATCTAGGAAGGATAAAGACTGTATTACTTTTTTGAAAAGATTATACTCTAACAAATTTTATATTAATTCAAACACATTATTAGTTTATATATGCAGATTAAGTAATTATTTTCCATTCAGAATAACCTGTATCATACATGTATCGTAAATTTTTCAAGAGTTTGCATATAATTATTTTTATCACATTAATATGATACTGCTACTTGCATCTGTGTAAAATGGCATGCTTGCAATAAAATTTCATACACAACTGGTTAGCAAACTTTCTCTACTGTTTAACAAATAAGCATATAATGCAGGATTTTTCAAAATGTGATTCTTTAAGTTCATTTATAAAATCCGAGTTTGCAGACATTTTATACATCTTGTGAATTTATAGTGATTGGTGTAACTCCTTTTGGTATCAGAGGGTTGATCAACGATAGGTTGTATGCTGAAACATTTTCTCAATCTAGATGGTCTTCGTCAAGTTGGGGGCCAAGACGGATCAAACAAGTAAGCTAGTTTATTTTGTTTTTTGTTTTCTTACACATATCCTTACAGCTGTTCTGTTCTGTTTTTTTTTCTTCTCAATCAATAATTCTTCCCTGTGTTTTGTTATTAGTCTCATTGCAAAGCAGAAAAGGAAATACTTGTCTGTAATTTGGTGTTATGCTTGTGGTGTGCTTCTAAAATATATCATAATTTTAACTCTGTTTGGAGGATAATATGTAGTGGATTCTGACAGCAGCTTGCAAATTCAACAGAGCTGTGTGGATGCACTTTTTTTTCTTTCAGAATTACTACTTGAGAGCATAATCTTGAAAATATGTACCAGCATAGAAGGAAAAATTAAAGTAACAAGACCTATGTCATTTCCTAAGATATGAAATTATTTGTATAAGATTTTTTAGCTTTCCATGTTATCTGTATTTTGAAGGGGAGCCTTTGGCGTAACGGTTAGAGTTACAGTTGTGTGACTAAGAGGTCACAGGCTCAAGATGTAGAAGTAGCCTTTTGCAAATGCAAAGAATACCGACAACAGAACCTAATGGATTCGACCCTTCCTGAATCTGTCATGGTGGGAGCATTATAGCAACGGATTGCCCTTTTATGTAATCTGTATTTTGAAATTAATTATATCTTTTACCTGCTTGACTCATGTCATAGTTTAATTATTTTTCTTAGGGTATTGTTTGGGAGGGGATTTTTGAAGTGGAAGGGATATTTTTAAATTTTAAATTAAAAGAATTATATATCATTTATGATGACAAATACATTATTAATACATTAAATTTATGTTAATAAATCAATTTATATATTTTATTTTAAAAAAATATTAATTTTAAATATATTTATTTAAAATATAAATTTTGCCTTCTGCTCCAAAATCCCCTTTCCTAAACAACCTCTTAGTGAATTGTTTAACAACTGCAAAGCTCCAACCCTATTATCTTTTCTTTTCATTTGTAATTTATCTGATCGAATGCTTTCTCCTATCACTTTTTTGGTTCCTTCCAAATATGCAAAAATTTCCTTGATTGAATTCAGCATATTCCCTTCCCCGCCCCGCTAAGAAAGGTAAAAGTGCTTGATTGAAGCCTAATCTTCTCTCCTCATCATTCACCTTAGATTAAGTTTAGATGCCCACACTAGGGATGCACAAAAGCAGTGCTTCCTTGAAAGTTGTTCACTGTGATGGTGGGCCTTGCAAGGCCAAAGCACACCTTTCACCGCACATGCCTTCAATAGCCATGCACTTCCTATCATCATCAAAGGAAATATTTTGTGTGATGTATTGCAATTGTTGTGTCAGGCACTGTTCAAGAAGGGAGTTAGTCAAGCTGATGCTGAGAAGGCAGTTGAATTGGTCTTTATGGACAATGATTGTGAAGAAGATCACATGTCAGTTATTGGCTTGTCAAAGCATTCCATGGATCATCTTTATGCTCAGGCCTCAAAGCAGTGGTTCAGAGGTCAGAATGTACCAAAGGAGACAAGGAAATCAAGAATTGTTCGATGGCTTCAATACCGTGGTTTTGACTGGAATGTCATTAACTTCATATTGAAAAATTAGATAGGCAGGACCAGAATTCTCCATAGTGTACAGTTGGTACATCCAAAATTCATACCTATCTGAATATTCATTGGTGGGTCCATTTATGTTTCTTGAAATGTATATTATGTAATATATTGGTAGGGTTGAAGCCTCTGTTGGCTTATAGTGCTGTGGCAAGAAAACTAGTATTTCATTGCTTCAATGCTGCCAAGGCCATTTGACATCTAAAGACACAAGACTACACTTGTCTGTGTACATTGAAGCTACTTTTCCCCTCTCATATTGAGGCTGAGATAAAGTAGCAAGCACCACTAAGGAGGTGCTATTGTGAATCCACTTTGCCCATTCTTAGAGATGTGGTGCTCATATGATCTAAAATCAATTAATGCTTGCTAATTTTAAATGTTTGCTTACGCTAGAAAGATCATTATTAACATGTTTATCCAATTACAACCATTAACAAGCATTAAGGCTTCTAGAGCTGAACGAGTGCTATTAATGATATAATGGCATCTGTAGAATTATTTCATAAAGCGATGGGGACTTGCAGGGCCTAGTTGGATGCAGACATGTTCCCAGAACACTTCCACAACAGCTCAGATTTTTGTTTTTGGGGTTGAAAAGAATAATTTTTAAGACATTGGAAGGTTAATGCGGAAAATGAAGCATCTTAAAAAGTTTTCCTTAAACCATACTATGAAATTCATAGAAACTGCGATGCTAAAAATCTGGAACACATTTGTGAGAAATTACATAGAAACTGTCCATAAAACACAAACAAGAAGTGGCTCTTGAGAAGTTTCTAGAAGAAAGATAAATTTAGAGATTAAATAGTTGACGATGACTTAAAAAAATTTATTACTTATATTATTTGTATTTATTTTTTGGTAGCATATTATTTAAAAACTCTTAAAGTTAAGTGTTAAATACGTTTTTAACTTGGAGTAATTATGGAATGAGTGAATTTTATGAAAAGTACTCAAGAAATGTGTGTGTGAGCATAAAAACATGCTAAAAAGTCTTGTATTAATTTATGGGAATAGTTATCAATTTTGAATAAGTGGTCATGCATTACACCTTTCAACTTTAGAAAAATGTTGCAATAAATCTTTTTATTCATATTTTTTAAATTGACTCACGTTGACCACTAGCCTCAACATTAAAATAATAATAATAATAATATTTATTATTATTATTATTATTATTATTATTATTATTAATTGTTGGTGAAAAGGAAGATGGTTTAAAATATCTAAAAAAAGTATTGAAAAGAGTTTCAAAATTATTAGTAACATTTTCCTTAATTAAAATTGTTAATCAAATTAATGCTTCTTAAATATTATTTATCTTTTTATATTTCATATTTTAAAAAAGAAGAAAGAAAAGAAGAATGAATATAAAAAGAATAAAGCCAAAGAGTGATAGAATTTAGTTCTCTTAAGCAAGTCAGTACAAATGAATGGGTGTGAGTACAAAATCCAATTTTCATTGTTTGTGATCAGAAGGAGAAAAAAAAAAGAAATATTATTTTGATGAGAATAAACGTGACTTTACAGTATGACAAATTCATGCTCTAATTTTCTTGTCTTCCTCCCACTGCAGAAGACATTCATTATTCTTCTATCCATTCTTTCCACGTAATTTTATTTTTATTTTTCCAACGATGCAATACTTCAAATTCTGGTCCTAAATTATTTTCACTCATCCTCATACTATTCCTAGTAAAGCCAAAAAGTCGTTTGCGAATGGTCCTATAAAATATGCTGTGAACTTATTTATTAGTACAGAGAATTTTATGAACCTTGAAAATAATAAAATATTTCCTTGTTCGTTTTTGCTACCTGTATATGCTGCATGATTATGAATCTGTTATACAGTAAACATGTTATGTTTCAGTATAATGGTCCTGCATATAGATACATATGCATAAGATTATAATATACAGACTTTCAATCCCAACTAAATATATGTGCTTCCTGAGGAGTTTCCAATCGCTGCAAAGTCTCTTTCAGACAGCACATGGGACATGTGAGGATTTGAACGTTGTACCATGTGGCCACTGTTTTAACTTTGAATTGAGAAGCTGAATTGGATCAGTGTGTGCGTGTGTGTATGCATGTTACCCAAAAAAAACTCCAATCATTGTTTCAGCTTCCACAAATCCTGAGATTTCTCTCTTCTTATTGGATAGTTATTAAGTCTTTAGCGTTTCCACGAAATCCCTGGTTGGCGAGAAATTATTGTATGATCTAGGACTACCATGTGTGCATGTTTGGAAACTCAAGAAAATCACGTTTTAATGTGGAAGTTATAGCTTGTAGCGTTAGAATAGATTCAGGTATAAATGAATCTGACACGAAACCAAACACGACCATTTAATAATTTCTCAGTTTGTGGTAACACTGGAGAATTTTCAAACTTGTAGCTTGGAAAATGTTATTAATTTGATACATGTTAGTTCATTCACCACATACACTAAAATAAGAACATAAAAAATTAAATGTAAGATAAAAGTATAAACAAAGTTAGCACAAGCATAATTATGGCCAAGGAGATCCTTTATATCATATTGAGAAACCAATTAGCCTGAAACAGATCTGGATTCTAGAATGCTTTTTATTTATATCCAATACATGGATTCTTGAACATATGCATTATACATCTTACATTACATTTGCATATCTCTAGTAATTCTGGCCAACTCTAATTGCCATTCCATTTGACTATGCACAATTGATACGAATCGTAGTTTCGTGCATACTTGCTCAGCAGATTGAGTCCTCTGTGAAATTAAAGGAACACTTGGAAGTTTCATGTAAAACTACCTTCTTAGGTGATGGAGAAGTAGGTGCTGTTAAAACTCCTTTCAATACATCAGGATCTGTGCTTGAGGCCTCGAAAGGTCGAATTTCCTTGAGCATTGCAACAGTGTCCTTCATTGTTGGACGGTCCTCAGCTCGGGTGCTTAGACATAGAAATGACACAGCTAGAGTTTGTAGCACTTCATGCATGGTAGAGTCAGTTCTACCTCTCAGCTTTGGGTCAAGAGTGTCATATGGGTCTCCTTTGCTTGCTAAATGGTTCCTAACCCACTGACCCAAGTGTGCACCCCCAGGAAGGGTTGGGTCTAGTGGGTGCCTTCCTGTCAGGACCTCAAGTAGGACCACCCCAAAACTATACACGTCACTCTTCTCAGTGATCCGTTGCATTGATGCATGCTCTGTACATAATGTGCCAAAACAAGAAAAAAAATTAGTACTGTTTCAATGGGTTATGCAAGAACTGAAAATTACTTAACCAATTCAAACTAAGTGTGAAAAAATATATATACCAGGAGCCATGTATCCATAGGAACCAGCAAGGTAGGGTCTTTGAACAAGCTTGGAAACAGTAAAATCACCATTTTCACTTGCTATTCTAGCCAGTCCAAAGTCAGCAAGGTAAGGTTGATAGCCAGGACCTAATAACACATTCATGGTTTTGACATCTCCATGCAGTATGGAAGGCACACAATCATGGTGCAAATATGAAAGTGCATGAGCCACTCCCAACATAACATCATATCTGGTCTCCCATTCTGCTTTTCCCTTTCCTGAACCATGAAGCAATGAGCTCAAGCTTCCATTAGGGAGGTAGTCATAAAACAGAAGCTTCATGTTCTTACTGGACCCCCAACCCAGAAGCTTGATGATATTCTTGTGTCTTATTGAACTTAATGTTTGAATTTCAGAAGTAAATGCTCCAGATTCTGCTGATGACCACATCCTTTTAACTGCTAATGTTTGGCCATTCGGAACTGTGACTTTGTACACAACACCAGAACTTCCAGTGCCAATCACATTGGATGATGTCAAACTATGGAGAATGTCATCAATAGAGAATTCAAACTTGTGAAACAAAGTCATCACCCAACTGTTGTTTCCCATGAGTGCTTTGTTAGCAACATGAGCACGGATCAAGACATGGATTGTGATCAGTACTAGTACTGCACTGGTGACTAAGAGAATGGACATTATAATCTTCATAGCCAATCTGACATGACCCTTGGCTTCCATTCTGTCAGATGGAGTTACAACACCACCAGCAATGTAGAGACCATTATTTGCAGTGAGATCACTGAGAGGGAGCTTTCGGAAGAAAGGGGTGTTCGGTAATTCACCAGAGAAGTCATTGAAGGAAACATTTAATGAAACAAGGTTCTGAAGGTTGGAAAGAGCATCCAAGTCCCCAGAGAGTTTGTTGTGGGAGAGGTCAAGCACTCCAAGTTTTCTAAGACTTGAGAATTGGAGTGGGATTTCTCCAGAAAATTGATTACAGCTGAGGTTGAGAAAGATTTCTAGTGAAGGAATTTGAGCAATTTCCTTGGGAATTTCACCGGAGAAACTGTTGCTTCCCAAGTCTAGAAGTTGTAACTTAGAGCAAGATAGGATCTCTGCTGGGATGCTTCCACTGAGCTGATTCTTTCCCAAGATGAGTTTGGTTAGTTCAGTCAATGAACCAATGGAATGACTCAGTGCACCTGTTAGCCTATTGTCTGAGAGGTCTATTAACTGCAGGCTTTTGGGCAGATTATATGGTACTGAACCAGTGAGACTATTTGAATGGAGGTCCAAAAACTCAAGATTTTGGCAACTGGATAGTGTTGCAGGAATCTCCCCAACAAGATGATTGCTGCTAATATCCAAAAAGTTCAAATGCTTCAAGTTGGTAATCTCAGATGGAATGGTACCTGCCAGTCTATTGTGATTTAACCTCAACCTGTAGAGACTTGTGCAATTACCTATCTCAGGTGGTATAAAGCCCGAAAAGTCATTGGAAAGAAGCAGCAGTTTAGTGAGATTCCTCAGTCCAAATAGTTGTTTGGGAATTGGACCAGTTAAAAAGTTGTAAGAGAGATCAAGTGCCTGGAGATCTTGGCACTGCGAAAGACTATCTGGGATTTTTCCTGTGAGCTTGTTCTGCCATGCAAAGAACAGAGTCAAGCTTCTCAAGTTGCCAATAAGAGGAGGAATCTCGCCAGAAACAGCATTGTTGTCAACTTCTAGTTGAGTCAGGGAAGTGCAATTTGTGATTTCAGGAGGTATAATACCTGAAAGCTGATTAACACTCAGTTGAAGCCCTTGCAGATTTGATAGCTTACCAAAACTGGTTGGTATGCTACCTGTGAGTTGATTTTCTGACAAGTCTATGACATTGAGTTCTGTGCAGCTTCCAAGTTCCTCTGGGATTGTTCCTACTATATTGTTTTGCCATAAGAGTAGATTCTGAAGTTTTTTTAGCTCTCCAATTTGACTTGGAATTGAACCAGATATTGAGTTCTGATACAAGTACAGGTTCTGCAACTCACTGCACTTCCCAATCTCTTCTGGGATAGAGCCTGACAACTGAGTTGTGTATATGGCTATGGTCTGAATTCTTTTCAGCATTCCTATTGAAGAAGGAAGACTCCCAGAAATGCTGGTTTCTGCAAGGCCTAACATCACCAACTTGGTGCAGTTTCCAATGTCCCATGGCATCTCACCCTTAAGGTTTGTGTTCCCTCCTGCTCTGAACACTTGGAGCTCTCTTAAGTAGCCAATACTCTTTGGAATTTTACCACTCAGTTTGTTGTCATAGAGTGTCAAGTTCACAAGAGTTGTCAAATTTCCTATGTTTGATGGAATGTTGCCTTCAAGAAAGTTGGCATGGAGAGCCAAACTCTGCAGTTTGCTTAGCCTGCAAATTTCTTCTGGGATTTCACCAAAGAGAGAATTGCCACTGAGATCAATGGCAATGAGCTCTTCACAGTATCCAATTTCTTTTGGAATCCTTCCTGTGATGTTGGTTGATGAGAGGACAAGAATCTTCAAGGACCTGAGAGATTGAAGATTTGAAGGCAATGAACCTTGCAAATTCACTGACTTCAGGTTTATCTCAACCACCTCTCCTTGTAAGTTGCAGTGCACCCCAAACCAGTTGCATGGGCTTGGGTTTGAAGAATTCCAAGATGCTAATGCATCTGCAGAACTGTTTAAACTGTTCTTCCATGCTAAAAGCGCCTGTCCTTGTTCATTAAGGGAGTAACAATAAGAAAAGCAAAGAGAGTTTATCAAGAGAAGCAAGGTGAGGGAGAAGATTTTGGGAGAAAGTAACAGATTCATTAAGCTTATTGACATTGCTGAGAGAAGAGAAGTGGTGATCTGTGTTGGGATTGTAGAGGCGAAAACCAATAAATTGTTTATAGAGGAAGAGAATAAGCTCCGGACACAAGAGCCAGGTTCTTTATTCTTTTGTTATTGTAATAGGTTTGTTCAATGACAAGGATATGTCCATACACATGATGATGTTTGTTGGTTTTTATTCATGTAAACTCCTCTTTTTATATTGGTTCTGGTCGTGGTTAACCTGTCAAGTAGTGAGTTGAAATTTTGTGGAATTTGCGGTCTGAATGTAATCCAATTTGTTAGTTTCTGTTAGATAGTGTTTTTCACTAATAGTGAACTGTCAGACATGAAAATAGTGGAGAGTGAAAATCATGTAAAGAAGATTTCGCATTTTTGTTCCCCACGTGGACACTTATGCATTATCCTGTTTCATGTTTTTATTTGGTAATAATAAATAATAATTACTTTTCATCTTCATATATTTTATTTAGCTGCTGTGATTGGCAGGAAACAAGGGATGGTTAAGTAAGCACTAGGACTAGTAAAATATAGTACAGAAAATGGCTTTAGCACTTTTTAAGTTGGGTCATTAAGGTAATTATCTTACAGATAGTGATGGGGTGATAATCAAATTGAATAGACAATTTGATGGTTGAATATAATAGCTCTATATTCGGTTAATCAACAAGATAATTTCTTCCTTTAATTAGCTAGGCCCATTTTGTGGTCCATCACCTTTGTGTGGTTGCGGTTTTTGATGAGCCATTGATGTGGTGGTTGCTACATGCCACCTTTTGAATTTCTGAAACTTAAGAAACTAGCTTGCATATTTGGATCAAATTCTGAAGAATGAAAAGAGGGGGTTTGTTTCCACTGTTAAAATCTAAAGTCGGGTATCTACCATTAGTGCTAATTTTATTCAAATTACAAGAGATACTCCTGAATTAGCAATCCTGTAGGAGCAAAATGGACATATTTTAGTTCATAATAATAATAACAAAGACTCAATTCGCTTTGTTTATATATAAATGGAGGAGTGCATGAGAATCTGATCGAGAAGTGACGTGCACATGGAGATGAGGAGTATGTGAAGTCGTAAGTGTGGGTGGTCTTTTGTTTAAAGAAAGGGTCTAAGTTATTTTATGGGTAAATATTCCAATCTCAGATGAACTAATGAGATTTTGTTTGTTAAAAATTAAATAAAAAATGATACAATTTGTAATATAATATTTTAATTTCATTAGTTCACTTAACAGAGTTATATACTTATTTACTTCAACAAAAAGGTAACAGTTCAAGGTTGGAAGGAACAAAGTTATATTACTGAAGTTTCAACCATTTAACTGGTATTATCCACAAAGCAAAAACTAGATAACTTACAAAAAGCAAAACATTTCGTGCTTTTGGAGTGAACCATCCGTAAATAACTTCTAAGAAAAAGTTGTAAAAACAAATTTTTCTAACTCAAAAAGTAAAAAATATAAAAACAAGAATTATAAATTCAATAAATAATTAGTTAATTTGGTGCAGTACCATAAGTTAGCTTTAGAACTAGTTTAGATTTGAAATAAACAGGATTATGATTACCTTTAAGAAAAGAAAATAATTAATGTTTGTCTAATGCGACAAAGAAAAAAAAAATTTGTTGTAGCATCTTCGGGAGCCTGCAGTTCATGAAGAACTCAAACAAAACGATGCAATTCTATAGCTAATAAATCATGAATTGGTTTCATAAAAGGATTTTATAACGAGACAAAAAAAAAAGTTTATAAAAATGGTAAACGATCCTGATCCAGATATCTCAGTCTGAGTTAAGTTTGTCTATAGCATGTACGTATATATAAATAATGTTGTATGTATCTTTTATCTAAGTTAAAATATATCATAACTCACTATAATTCAAAGGTTAAGACACTTTTATTCATATACTTCAGATACAAAATCTTTTTAAAAAAAGATAATTCGCTCATCTATCTGAATCACCGAAGAACTATGAAACAGTTGATGTATATTAAGAAGAAAAATAAATCAGTAAATGATATATGTATACGCTGTTTCAACTCTCTAGACATATATACAGCTATATCAACCTTTCCCAGGCACATACAAAAACTTTTGGGTATCACTTTTCCCACCTATCATATCAATGAACCTGAAAGATGAGTACACTAGATTTGATTGAAGATCCCTATACCTTATCTAGCTTGAATTTTCTTGACTGTTTTATGTGAATGATGAATCTTGCTTGATCACACAATCTTCTCCAATTGTCCCATCTGCCATCTGCTTCATTTTGCTGATAGATGGGGAAGTTTCAGCTGCACCAATTATACATTTTGAATCATCAAAACTGTAGACTAATTAGGACAAGTTTTATTATGATATGCACCCGTGTAATGCGTAGCTGTCAGCTTTTGATTCATTGAATTGGACTGCATGTATTACCTTTCATTTAACGGTTTGGAACCAAACATCTACATAGGTGGTGATACCATGTTCCATAAATTTGACCCCAAAACTTACTTTATTTTACACATTTAGGATATGTTTGGTTTCTTGTTAGCCATCCATGTAATTATGTTTAATTTATTATGACATGATTTTATAAAAAAAAGGGTTGATATTTAGTTAATTTTGAATATAATTAATTTTAATATCAAACTTGCCCTTGAATTAACATGATAATTTGTAATTTTTGCATTGAGTAAAAAAATAATACTAAATTCTATCATCAACTTACTTTTAAGAGTTTTTAAATATACATTACATTACTTTAAATTCTTATTTAGATAAAATTAACTCTAAAAAATTAAATTTATTTAAACTCAAGTTTATAAATATCCATTCAAACACAACCTTACAAATGATTGTGAATAAAAAAAATGAAATTTAAAATTTAAGCATATTATGATGTATGATGACAAAAGAATTATAGGAAAAAGAAAATCATTGGTAAAGGATCATTGAGCCAAAAGAGGGTGAATAGAGGGACCCCAATGACATTCAAAAGAAGAGACAAAAGGCACCAGTTATGCCTGGATGGAGAATTCTTGCATTAGTCTAAAACGATCCATTCCCTAACCCCACCATTTTATTGTTGGGTTTACTTAGTGAAAAAGTAAGTCATAAAGGCTTCCCCTCGGGGCATGTTCCGAACAATCAAGGTTGTAGCACACGAATGGCATGATGTCATTCTTCACCTATTATCTATGAAAACCAAGAAGGCCCTTTTGGATCACCTAGTGATCCCGAGCCAATATATGAATTCAGTAAATAGAAAAGTAAGATTAGACAAGAACAAGAAGATGAAGAAAAGATGTGGAATGATTCCCATCCACTATAAATTTCTTCATCTCTAACCAAAAGTATTTAATAACAACAGGTAAACAATAATCATCTCTTGAAAAATGTAATTAATCAACGCTTGTAGCACTCCCTTTTACAATTATTAAAATAATTTACAATTAATTTTTTTCTTTTTCTTTCATGCATTCTTGTCAAATTCAATAACTGCTTTTAAAAACTATTTTTTTCTTTTCTTCTTTCACTTTTTATTTTTGTCACATTCCCTTCCTTCTGCTTTCCTTCTCAGTATTTGAATTTCCATTGATATTTATACATATGAATAACCCCATGAAGGTTTTTGACAAGCATGAACGGAAATAATGATTTGGATATCTCATGCCACATGAATGCTTCAACTTTTGAATATAAAAACATTAGAAATATGCATAAGCTAGTCCCAGACAGAAAAATAAATGGGTGCCGGGCACATGCAGGAAACGAAAAATTGTTGGATTTTCTATGGCACTAATTAAAAAACACACATACAAATAACGCTTGCATGGTGCAATGATCTCAAACCTTAATTATATATGTTGGGATTGAATTATTGTTTATCAACTTTATTTCCTTCAAGATTATAATAAACCTTCCCTCAGCTCCCCCGATTATCTTACGTTTGTTTATTAAAAGTGAGTGCAAACGCTGTGTCATGCCTCAGCTTTTGATACTTTAAGGAAATCAAATTATAATATAAGAAAAATGGAGTTGGAAGATAGCTTTTATATAGATTCTCCTAGTGTTAGGCTGTTAGCTAGGTAGCATCTATATTAGAACAAAATCAGAGGAAAAATCAAATTTGACTGACAATAGAGTTGTTACAAATTAAATGTATGTATGACCAAACATTAATAGAGGGCAGCGTATGAATCTTGCCTATGAGCATGTTATCATCATTCGATTACAATAATGAGTCTTCTGTTCATGTTCTTATTGTCGGTAGCCATTTTATCAGTTTGTTTTTTAGGTCAAGCCATTTTATCACTGAGCCGCAACTTTCTACTTGTGGTGCTGGAAGATGGGCCAATTGATGTGTATGTAAGTAGTTAGCCATTAGAGTATGGTTATTCCACTCACATAATTAAAATAATTTTTTTGATTCACATGAATGTTTTGTATTTTAAAAAAGATGCTGAATTTAATAAATGCTATTCAATGAAAACATGATATTATTTGTTACAAGATTTAATTAGCTTTATTATACCTGCATTATTATTTGTTAATCTCTTCTAAAATTTGGTTTTATACTCACAAATACACTCGTTGAGCCCAACAGTTGCATGATCTCTCTTCTTCCCTAGGGGATAAACTTAACAAGGGATGTCATAAACTCATTTTCTTTATTGAAATATGAGGAACATAGAGAGAGTAAAAAAAAGATGGTGAGAGATATAATGATTTGCATTGAGGGCGGACCCTTAGTGTGGTCTACAAGTGTACCATCATGGGAACTTTTGTCCTTAATACATGGCACACGTGCAGTAGAGTCAGCAAGTGGTGAATTCGATGCACATCAATTGGACTTTTGAATCCCCAATAATAACACGGGTTGATGGAACCAAACATGATTTGTTATTGACATAATGAAATCCCATCAATAATAAGCCATAGGGTCCATTCCCATCCCAAATCATGTAAGAAGAAATGCCAAGTTACACTTCCTGAATTCACACGTTTGGGAGACTTGATCCTCATCAATGTCACAAATCCTCGTCTATTAGAAACAATTGAAATCTTTGTTTCTTTCTAATTATTTGCCCAATTTCCCCCAACTTGTGATTGCTTCCCAAAATCATAAAGATAAGACTAGATATATAGGTCGACATCCTTTGCAATTTCTCCATAATTGAGATTTATCACCTACCGCATGAGCGAATTCAATGTCAGGGTTTAGAGAGCACTACCACCCTCACAATGAGTGATCATGGATTCATTAATTTTATAGTGTATTTTGATTCACGTTTAAATATATATAAATTTATATTTATTTCAATATTATTAGTCATAATTTATGTGTCCTGTTTATATTTATAATTTTTGTAACATGTTTTTAAACACTTGCTTGTTTTTTGGGTAACTTCACTGAACCTTTTCACACCTTTCAAAGTGCTCCACTGAGTTTAGGCTTGTTTTTCCTTGATGAAGATGATGCCCTGTGCCTCTCAATAATTCCATTATGAAAAAGATTATGCGCATACAAACTTTGCAGCCATCATATAATCTTTTTATGCTTCACAATAAACTGTGTTAAAAATGAATAAATTTGTGATTTTATTTTTGTTGAGAGAATTAATGTCATTGTGTTGTTGTGAATATGTTCATCATTTGAATAAGATTATTTTTTATTAAAGAAATTGTAGATTTAAAAAATCATGTTAAGTGATCAAATCACTGTCTGATCCTATCATAGCTGTCAAAATATATCCTTAAGTTCGGGTTTCTGTTCCAAATCACTTTCCAAATGCTATAAATTATTAGAGGTAATGGGACGAAAGTTAGGTTATAATAATATCATCCTTTTACTCGAACCACAGTATTTTAAACACGTCCAATCAACTCCACGAATCATGAATGGTATGTCAAAGTTTTTTGTGCTCTCTGTACTTTGGAAATAAATAAACTGGTTTCGGAGCTTCAGGAGGTTAGTGATTATTTCATTTTTCTCTGACCATTTTTCTAAACATCATTGTGGAAAAAGTAGTAATGTCACTGTATATATATAATGCATGTCAAATTCATCAAGACTAGTACGAGCACGACATTGTTATTCGTGCGTGGATAAGGATATTATATGATATTACACTTTGTTTGGTTGATAAAAAGAAAAAGAAAAAAAATAGAAGAAATAGAAAATGAAAAGAAGATAAGTGAAAAAAAATATTATATAAATAAATAGAAACAATAAAGAAAAATGGAAAAAAAAAACTATAATTCTTTTTGAGAATCTTACATGAGGAGCAAAGGAAGTAAATGAAATTTATCCTCATGGGAAACAAGTATTTCCATGGATCCAACATGAAAAACTCTCTCCCTTCTCATTTCTATGCTATATCAAATGAGTTAAATTGAATGTTTTCATTTCTCTATTTTGTTTCATTTTATTTTTATCAAAACAAATATATCGTTGGAAAAAAATCATTAAGATTACTCCTTCAATTATTATATATTAAATACAAGTAACTCTTTAAGAATAGTATGTTCTAATGATTAATGACTTTTTCTTGAAGTTTACACCATGCCATGAATAAGAAACTTTTAAGTAAATCCCTGAAGCTAGCCAGTACAGTCTACTGTAATCTATTTTGCAAGGTCAAAAGTTTCAGGGGAACCGTACTTTGTCCTTTAAACAGGTAAAGTTTATGTCACTTCTGTAGTAACTAATTCAACCATGAGTCGTAATTCCAAGCAAACAATGGCCATGTACTTAAAAAAGATAAATGGGGGATAAGACAAGCAGAAATGGTGCAGATTTCAAACAAATTATTATGTATCAGGCAACGATAAGAGTTGTCAAGGAGTTTCTTCAACTTTAATTGTAGCATGATGGCAGACAGAATACTAGAAATTTATTAGCGTTACCATATGAAGAGCTTTCTTTTCTTTTGTCAATAATAAGAAGAGCTATATGATACTCCCATAACTGGATCCTCTACAGTGGATAACTGAACTGCATCCACATCCATTATTTTCGATCTTCATTTTAATAGAAACGAAAATTCAAAAGAAAGCAATATAGTATATAAGCTATGAAAACAATTTTTCATGCTTTATTTTAATAGGAAAGATTAACTTTTTCAATGGTTCCCGTCTTTGTAGTTTAAAAAAATTTCATTCTATGAATATGGGTCACATTATATCTCATATTTTATCATGGGCCTCTGGTTGACACAGCTTGTTCTATTCTCCTTTTGGGCCTCTTTACATAGTTATTTCGTTCCCGTAGGATCGCTACATGTCATTTGTGATATGACAATTAGGTCCACGGAATCAATGTGAGGTCCAGCTACAGGTGGCATTGAAACATAAACTAGAGCGTTGCTAACTTGCTCAAAGATTCGCAGACGATTCAGAAACACATAAATAATGTAGTATTATAAACATAGTACCCGAATAATTTATCCTATATAGGCCAATGTGTGACAATTTATCAAACGAGTGATAATGGTGCTGAAAAAAGAAGGATTCAACTCCTTTGAAGGAAGTATTTCACTTTCGAGGGAAAAGAACTACGGAGTTATGATTATTAATCGAAAAAGGCAAAGGTTGAGAAACAAACAATGTTGTAACCACGTAAATTGAAAAATAAAATGTTGCAATTCAATCAACTTAAAAATTTATTTGTTTGTCCCACATGAATCGCTCACTTATATCCAACAGAAACATCAACAACAATGATAAAATATGACCAAGACTATTTTCTGTTTCATTTTGGAGAAGGGAGGGGAACTATGCAACTTGAAGAAAGCAACAGAATTCTGTAGCCCTCAATTAGATAACGTTGATTGACAAAAAATATGATAATTTAATTTGTAATAGAAACTAAAATGTATGTTAAGCACGTCAAGGGAATGCACTCGACCAAAAAAAACTAGTATGCATTAATATACTTAAATACTTGTCTTATTCATGCCGGGACCTTGTATGGTACAAGCATATTGATATGTACTAAATATCTAAAATTTTCTTATAACTCGTATAAATTAAATTAGTTTATGCATAACATTAAGCTTTTTGCGAAATTGTTTGGTTTGTTATAAAATAAAATTAACAGCTGCTTCATTTCAATCAAAACTCGGCTTCCCTGAAATAAATTTGCTTGAACATTATGAAAATTGAATATACATTGTACATGCAATTTGAATACTTTATATTTTGTTTTTATATTTTTAAATGACATATTTTCCCATAAACGCATCTTTGTTTTCCCGAACCAGTTACCAATATAGTCCGAGCCAATATCCATGCACACGAATTATAAACTTGTGGCAAAGATGAAAATAAATTATCTCGAGCAGCGGTGGCAACAAAAATTGAAATGTTAGGTATGATGCTTTAAGTTCAACTCAGCAATACGCCTGGGTCAGTTAAAAGCTTCAGCCGACATGTGCTCAAAGTTTGGATCCAACCTCACCTCCCATTAACCAAAAATGAATCACCTCCCGAAGCAATTCATTAATTTGGACGCAAGGGCAGAAGTCAAAAATTTCATTCCGGCTGATCCGCCAGGAAAATAGGATATAGAATAGTATCCAAGCGAGAGAACCTGCAAATACAATCAAAATATCAATTTCAATGTAAGATTAGTAGTTTTGGAAAGAAACATAACAAATACATACGAAAATCTGTGAAGAAGATCTATTTCCACACCCCAGTTGCGGAAACCATGAAATGGAACTAATACCCATCACATAAATCAAGCCACTAGAAGTGTGGAAATTAATAGGAACTCACAAACTTATAAAGCCTAAATACAAGATCCTTTTGGAGATTTTATCATGGTTTCTTTATAAGATTTCCCTACAAGTTATTTTTACAAAGGGTATTTTCTAAAAAATTACCCTCTCTGAAGACATAGTAATTAATTAGGTAGAAAAGGAGTAAAACAATGACTCCTAATAATTTTAAGGATAATTTTGAAAAAGCTCTTCAAATTGTTAAATTTAATGTCATTCATGAAGTTAACTATATTTCTTAATTCTTACGAGGTAGATAAAAAAGTCTATATTTAGGACAGAGATGGTGTAACGTTCCTTTCTGCCACATAAAGGTAATTGCTGCTTTAGTAAATTCAAGATTATACTCAAATGCCATAGCACATACTTCAAATCCACAGCAAAGGCTAATACAAAGGCTAATACAAAGGTATGGGCAAAGCAACCAAAAACATTTGAGCTTTTTAAGGATAGATGAACTGATACCTGTACGACAGAGAATACAACAGATAGAACGTAGCTGTGACGCACCATTGATACATATATGGTGCCGACCATACTGCATATAAAACCCAGTGTGAAAGGGAGCCTCTGAAAAATATTCACATAGAGAAACAGAGTCAGAAAAAATAAAAATAAAAAATAAAAAAGCAAATGCAACCCCAAGCAAGCTTACTGAAACAGGACATGAATTTGTATCTTACCTCCCTTGAGAACATGTGAGCAAGCTGATTCTTTGGACCTTTGATAGCAAAGAATGATCCAATAATAAATCCACACCCAAGAGTAAAACTTATAGCAAACTTTTGGGGCATAATCACCATCACGGGAAGGAACAAGGTAAACGCAATGAAAATGAAGAAGACTCCACTTGCCAAAAGCAAAGCAAAATACACAAGTGCTTTCCCAGAAGGAACATTGCTAGTGGCAGACTGCAAATTGGCAGGTATATCTCTCACACCTTTAGAAACCCTAACAATTATAAGATACAAATTTCTTAACTACTCGAGATCACAAATTCAGGCAAAACAATTCAGTAATTGTGATGCAGATAAAATGATGTTTCAATTGCACCTTTCCTTTCTGAAGCAACAAAAAAAAAGGTGAAGAACAATAACAATGACTACATGTACAACATTTTGAACACACGATTTTGTATAATTAAAGTAAGTGGATGAGTAGAAGAGAGGTTACACGTTGAAAGTGCCGGTGACGGTGTCGTTAGCAGATCTAACAGCGGATTCCAAATCGAAGGCAATTCCAGAATTGGAGGTGTCCTGAGAAGAAGTATAGGAGTTCCATTCTTCGAGCAAAGAGGAAGAGGAGGGTGGGTTCTGGTGATCTTCGCTGCGAGAGCGTGAGAACCAGCCCTCCATTTTTGGATCTACACTATGCTACCATTCCTGGGGAGAGGAATGAATGAATGAATAGGAATTCAAAGAGGAATGGGAATTGAAAGAAATGAAAATGGAAGAATGACTGTGTAGTGTATGAAGAAGCTAGGGGGTTGTTTGCTGGGTCTACCTCATCCCCATCAAAGTTTAACATGTAAATTATTATCATTAATTTTTTTCAAATGCGAAATTATTATTATTCATAATTTTATATTAAATATATAAATAATAGAAGTTGGTGATATATTTTGAAAAAATTTAAATGCCTTTTAATTTAAAGAATTATACGATCGAGAGTATAGAATATTTTTTCAAATTGACAAATACTCTAACAAATACATAAAATAATAATAAATAAGGTGAAAGAAATAATAAAAATAAAAATATTATCCAAGTACTTAAATATAATAATTATTAATTAATTTGTTTGTGACTTATTAATGCTATAGTTTTTAATTTTTATTTTAATTTGATTAGGCTAAATATTTGATGACTTTGGCAGTTTAGTGAAAGAAGCTTTTTAGATTAAAAAGTTTTTTGTGAAAGAAGCTTTTTAGATTAAAAAGTTTTTTGTGAAAGAAGCTTTTTAGATTAAAAAGTTTTTTTTATTATCTTTACAGATATTTATTATTTCACTTATTCAATTTTATATTTTTTTTAGATTGGAATTAAACAAAATTAACTAAATCATTTTGATTTGTCTTATTTATCATGTTTGACGTATATTTTATTTTTTAAACAAAATCAAGGATGACGTTTAAATTTATCGTTTTAGACAACTATTTTTTTTTCTATCATTAATATTTCTAGAAAAATAAAATGATATTTAGATAAGGTAGAAAAAAATCATTAATCTCAAAGAACACTTAAAAACAATAACCTAGGATTGTTAATAGTTTATTTTAAGCTAAAACGTTATCAAGTAAAAATAAAATAATTTTGGAATGGGAGGTCAACTTTATTGATTATAATATGTTTTTCTTTTAATTAAGAGAGAGGATTTAAAATTTAAATAATAAATTAACAAGTTTAAAATTTTAATCATGAAATTGATTGCTGAGCAATAGATAGTTAAATCTTATTTTATTTGCAGCATATAAATTTAAGTAATATCCCATTTTAAATATAAGTAAATTAAATAACATTTTTTTTTTAAAAAGAGAAATTTGAGTTGATTAGTTTTGATAATCATTCTTTATCAAAAAGTTATGTGTGATTAATTTATTTAGCAAAAAGTTATGTGTTCAAATTTTATTGTACGCCAAAATTTCTTTTCTTTGAACTATTAATAGCCGTGAACTGTAAGTGAAAGTTAGTTTTATGCCCTTGATATATTCAATAAAAAAATTAATAAACTCATGTATTTAAATAATAAAATTAATTTTTGAATAAATTATAATCATATTACTTAGAATCTAAGAAAAATACCCGGATTGTGAAGTTGGATACTCAATACAGAAGGTGGGAAACGTGTTTAGATTTAGCGAAAGGATTAGGATAACATTAAATCTGGACCTGTATAAGAATAATTATGATTAAAATATGATTTTGTTAATATTAATCAATTAAATAAAATCTAACAGTTTATTTATTTTTTCTTTCATTTTCACAATAACCAAATGTTTTCACCATATAGGAAATGTATGAAAAGTTTGGTTGATATGAAAAGTTTGACAGCAGTCACTTGACAGCTTAAAAAAGTTAACTGCATCTTTTTTAACTGTAATTATTTAATTTTATCTGCCTTAAAAAAAAGTTTTATTGATATGAAAATTAACTATATCTGCATATTGTTTTTTAATTCTTTTTTATTATTAATAAATGATAACTTAGAAAAAAAAACTTTTGTATTTTTAAATAGTTATATCTTTCATTAAATTGTTAGATTCTTTATTTGGTGACATTATTTACATAAGTAGCAATAAGAATGTTTTTATCATGTACAACTTTTCAAAGATAAAATAGTTTCGTTATATTATAAAATATTGAAAAAAAATCAACGCTATCACAATTAAATAATGGATATATATAAAAGTTAAATATCAAATGAAATTTTAGAAACTTAATTTTAAAAATATAAAATTTTAATTTTGGAAATTTAATTCTAAAAATTAATTAATAATTTTAAAAATTAATTCCTAAAACTTATTTTTAGAATCATATAGTCTTAAATAGTTAATAATTTAGGAAATTAATTTTCATAAATATAAAATTTTAATTGTGAAAACTTATGTTTAAAAATAGTTAAAAATTTCAGAAATTAATTTCTACAGACGTAAAATATTAATTCTGAACATTTATTTTTAGAAACATGTAATTTTGATTTTGAAAATTTAATTTTGGAAATAGTTAATAATTCTGAAAATTAATTTATGAAACTGTAAAAATATAAATTTGAAAATTTATTTAATTTCAAAAATTTATTGTCACAACTGTTGTGTTTAGAAAAAAAATTAGAAATAATAAATTGAGAGAACAAGCTCTTTTTAACTAGTGTGTTTCGTGGAATCACCTTGATTGGAAAAAAAAAAAAAAAGCCTAGGACAGAAGCACATCAATTTTTTGGTAAGTATCTTGTTTTTCATGCTTCTTGAATTATTATTGTGAGTTATTGCAGCAGTTTCCTAAGTATCTTGTTATCACTTAGTGGGCAAAAATTAGTGACTTTAAAAATAGAATTTGAATTTAAAAAATTTAGAATCGTCACTAAAATTTTATTTATTTTTATAAAAATAAAATATTAAAAAATATTTTAAGATTTTTAAATTCAGAAATTTTTTACGAATAAAAAAAGTATTAGCATTCTAATTATTTGAATGAACGGTATATCTAGATTAAAGAAATAGTGTAAAATGATTTTAAATCTTGATCAGATATTAATTTTTTTATTTTCCTATTTTTTGTTTTTTATTTTTATTTTTATTTATTTTTGAAATTAAGCCTCATATATAAATTGTTATCCTCGTAACCAAAAGAAAGGTGGATGCAGGGTCACGGTGACAAGAAAAGGGAACTTTGTGCCCAAAAATGCAAACCGGTGAAGAGCTGGTTGAAACTTGCACTATCATTGTATGGATTTCTTCTGCTCTGCATGCATCCACCAACTCTGGACAATACCCTTATGCAGGTTTCCTCCCAAATCGTCCAACTATAAGCCCTATATTCATGCCTGAAGAAGGAACTGCATAATATGATGAAGTAGTGGCAAATCCTGATAAGGCTTTTCTGAAAACAATCACCACACAGTTGCAGACTCTGATTGGCATTTCACTGATAGAAATGTTGTCTAGGCATTCTTCTAATGAAGTCTATCTTGGACAGAGAGACACTCCTAGTTGGACATCTGATATGGAGCCATTGGAAGCCAACATTGAACAAAAATGGCAAACTTAAAAACCGATTTGGACCAGTTAACATTCCATATACCTTACTTTTTCCTAGCAGCAAAGGTGGACTCACTGGGCATGGGAATTCTCTCTCAGTTTGGAAGGGATGCAGATGACAAGACTGAAAGAGACAATGGAGTGAAAACCTGGGTAAAACAGTTGCTTATAAAATAGAAGATGTCATAGAAACCGTATAAAATATCTCTATGAAGCAAGGATGTTCTTGGGCTCAACATGACCTGGATGCAGATATTATCCATGATCCTCAACATGTTAAAAGTTGATAACAACAATGAGAGCCCTCACTAAATGGATACTCAACGAAAAAAGAAGCTTATTGTTATTGAAGACTTTAAAGATAGATGAAAAAGCATTACCTCGCCTTGAACACTTGGAGCTAGGACCATGCCCTGAAATGGTACGGGCGACCACTGATATCCAGAATTTGGAGTCTCTCAAAGTATTTTCCTAAGTGGAATGTTTAAAGAAGATATATGTACCCAGCTGAAGGATAATATTCGGTTGTTTTCCTGTAATTAACTGGTATTATACTTAATTAGTGCTGATACTTCAATGAATTTTTACACCATGTATTCTGGATATATTCTACATTGTGATTTTAGTAAAAAATAATTTTAAATTGTCTTAAAAGAAATTTAGTAAAAGAGTGATTTTTGTTTAAACTAAAAAGTTAGTTTAAATTAAAATTGCAAAAAATTTTAAAACTACAAGAAATTCTAGAAACTTTTGTTTTTCATTAACGATTACTTAGTTACTAAAGACTCTTACATATTTTATTCTATTAAATATTCTGAATATATTATCTATTGTACTAAATATTAGTGAAATAAAATTATTTGTAATAATTTAAATTGTTGATAATGATGATAAAAATGATAACTTTAAAAAATTGGTTAATAAATAGTTGCATTATTATATGTTTTAAGATACTTAAGTTTTTGTTGTATGACCATAAAGTGTGATCACATGATCTTGCACAAATATTTTTAAATGTATTCTCTAGTGTGCTACTCGTGCTAAACATTAGTGAAGTAGAACCATTTAGAATCAAGTTAAATTGTTGATAATGATGATAAAGATTATACAAATGATAAATTTGTTGGGAAATGATTATATTATTTCATGTTTGAAACACTTAAGTTTTTGTTGTATGATCGTAAAGTGTGATCACATGATCTTACACACATGTTTCTCAATTTTTTTGTAATTTAAAGAGAAAGAAGATGAAGTTTTGAAATTTTTTGCATTATAACTTAAGTGAATTTTTTTGCCTTAATCGAAAATCACTTTTTGACTAAATTTACTTAAGTAATTTTTTTTGGCTTAAACTAAAATTATTTTTTGCTAAATTCGTTTAAACAAATTTTATTTCATGAATTTAAACTGTAGATTGCAGTTCCTTCCAAAACTGTAAAGAATTCAGATCTATCATTTTCTGTGTTAAGTCAGTTTCATCCAATTTGTAAATTGATGATATAATGAAAAAAATTAAGAGAAATATTAGATGAAATTATAATATATATATATATATATATATATATATATAATAGTATTTGAGTATTTATTTAATAAAAAAATTTCATATTGTAATGAAACTTTAAGTATTAGGCTTCTATATGGTGTTGGGCACGGATTTGGGCTGGGTGCATGCTGCCATATTTATGATGCAGCTTAAGCATTTGCTTTT